AGAGATGTTGAAAGGGTTTTTTGATTCAGGGTGTTTTTTAACAACTGGTTCTCTGCCCTATTGACCAGCTGGGTAAGCTTGGCTAAGGTGGTCATGTGACTGGGTGCTAGTGAGTGATGTTAATTGGGCCACACCCACTCAGATTCCCGGTGTTTGGTTTTTTCTATGGGAAAACAGCTCTTTAAGTGTTTAAGTTTGAAGACCCCTGATCTAGTCCGTTAATTCTATCATATATTTACAATAAAAGAAAGTATAATAGGAACAACCATAAAAGGTTATTCCTTTCCAACTTGGTGTCAGCAAAAAGTCTGTAAAATGCTGTCAGAACTTTGCAGGTAAATTTCTGCAATGCTGATGAAATAAACCAATTTTATATTCCATTTTTTTACTTTTAAAAGCGGTGTCCAGTGGCCCCTAGGAAGTCCCGGGAACTATACCAAGAAAGTGATGCTGGAGGTTTAGTAGAGGACTGAATAGTGATCACCAGTGCAGGAGGAGGACAGTGCCCCATTGTGACTGGAAAGTCTGCTTCTAGGATGGGTGAACCTGTATATTTGCAGGCGAATGGTTGCAAGCAATACTGAAGAGAGTATCAATTGGAGTGAGTAAATTCTTTCCCCTGTTGGTCAGTGAGAGAGATCAGTGAAGAAGCCCGATAGTGCAGAGGTTAGAATATGGCATTGCAAGCTAACTCTGCCCACAATCTGGAGTTTAATCCTGACAGGGTTCAAGGTTGACTCAGCCTTTTATCCTTAAAGTTGATTCTTCTGAGGTTGATAAAATGAGGATACAGATTGTTGAGGGCAGTATACTGAAAATGCAAACCACTCAAAAATGCTATAGTGCTATAGAAATCAGTTTAGGTGAAAGATAGTTGTATCTGGGGAACTGGGAGAAGAGATATTTCTACTTAAGTGTACCAATTCAGCATTGAAATGTTAGATTTTTAAAAGGCATCACTTTTAAACAAATAAACACTTTTGCTTTTTAAGCGAGTTATATTTTTATATTACCCTAAAATATAGATTCTTAAAACAGAACATGCAGCACAACTAATTCCAAGAAAATGCAAGAAGGAATATTAACTTTCAAGCCCTTTATGTATCTTCCTGTATACCCATTTCAGTTCCTTTAACTTTTTAAAAATAAATTTATTGAACAAATTTAATAATCAAGATACAGCACCCAGATATTACAAGTATCCAAGAAATGCCAATACCAGTATAGAAGCTGGACAATCAATGATGTTGATAGTGGAAACATGAGGCCACAGTACTAATGCATTAGTGAAGACCAAAGATGTTAAGCAGCACTGAGTCCATCTGGTTAAAAGACCTCTGAGGCCAAAAGAGCAATGCTCAATGTTCTGATCTCAGTGCTTTGTATTTTAACAGCAGGTCAATTTGAATAAAGGGGGAGGTGAAACTGCCCCATGCACCCCACACCAGCTTACCTCAGAACCCCCACAACCAGGCCATACATGCCCCAACAACAACCGAGTGTCCACAGCACCGGTGATTAACTTAGCCTCCTGCTCTGTTGTGGCCACAAAAAAGCAGAAGAAATTGTCCAGTGGCCAGGCAGGGTTTTTCAGGTGTCAGGGCTTGTGTAACCTGACTGAAGGAACCCCGAAGTAAACCAGTGCAGAGCACATGGGACAGCTACATCCCCATCTTATGGTGGCAGCATTGACATGCTGCACAGCTTCCTACCCCAATACCAGCAAGCAAAAGTGTGCCTTTTAGGAAAAAAGACATCCCTTGAGAATAAGCCCTAGAGAAAATAAGACTTTTTTTGGGGGGGGGGGGTAATGAAATAATGCACATCCATTACAGTTTTACCTGTTTCTACAAAGGAAAATAATGGCCTATTACTTCTCTAACATAGAAAATTGGAAGTATATGGAAGCAGATAAATTTCCTGAAGGAGTCACCAGCCACCTGAAATAGTTATCTGAATAATTTGATTCCTTGGGTAAATGTTAGTCTCAGAAGAATGTTAATATTTTGGTATTTAATGATATTACCAGGAAGAAATGCAGTTACTTGTGATGGCAGAGTATGACAAGACAGAACTTGCTATTCATTAATTCTTTATAATGACATGATTTACAAAGCTTGTAGTCATAAAACTTCATTGTTAAAAAGTGACATCCTGTAATGCTGATTAGATAACAATAAAATATTATTTCAACATAACAGAACATAAGTGATATCAATAGGAGAGCTTTATTTATTTATTTTCTACAGCTTCCCATTTCACTGAACATAATTCTGGCTAGCAGAGTTAAAATACTGTCAGAGTGGTTAAAAGGCCAGTTTGTAGGAACTCTATTTCTACTGCACAGGTTCCCTATGCCTTCCTAAGACTCCCTAAGTTTCTGGAAACAATGCAATTTCAAGGCATCCTGAAAGATTTTGGCGGTGGGAATCTTGTGTGAGCAATGGATGATGTCCCAGAAGACAGGAGTCACAGTATAAAAAACAGCTGTTTTCCTTTTTTCTGAGTAATTTTTGTTCAATTGTGTTGCATGCATGTGCAGCAAATCAGTATAAAACTGGTTAGGAGCCTACCACTGGGAGAGTAATATCAAAGTTTATCTAAGAGTTCCTGTGAGAAATATGCTACACATCTGATCACCAAAGTTGCTCATATTCACTCTATTTTGGACTCCAGCTTTAATACAGAATCTGTGGGGCTCATGGGGGCCATGTGTTACAAGACATAGGGTAGATTTTGAGCCAGTGGAACCTGAGGAAGTAGCCAGGATTCTGAGCTTTTAGTTCAGCCACTTGTGTATTAGGTATATGCTCCTTTTGACTTATTAAGGCTGCAAGGGAATATATGCATGATTGGGTCTGGGAGCCCCTTGAAGGAGGAAGGACCTCTGTACAGAGGACCATTACTGAACCTTATCAAGCTGGACAGTTTTCATCCAGATTTCTAGGCATTCCTCCTTATTATTGCTGTTGTCTAATTTATAGTAATTTCGGAGTTATGTTATAATGATATATGATAGTGGAATATTAGATATACAATTATTATATAATACTTTTTATTATATATAGCTGTATTTTATTTTCTTAGTTACATTAGTAAATTTTAAATAAATCCTAAAATAATTTGTAAAATACACACACACACACACAAAAAAGAAAATTATAAATGGCTGAACAAAGTAGCATATTTTTCAGAGTATAAGACACACAGGAGTATAAGACACACCAAGGTTTTGAAGAGGAAGATTTAAAAAAATGTTTTTGCACTTTGCAGACCTCCCAAAATGGGCCATTTTCACAAAAACGAGCCCATTTCTTTTTCAAAAAAAAGGGCATGAAAAGCCTTTAGGAGGCTTGTAGACTGTTCCTGGGTGGTGGCCCACCCAAAAGTACTAATGCACTAGTGAAGATCAAAGATGCTAAGCAGCACTGAGTCCATCTAGTTAAAAGACCCCTGAGCCCAAAAGAACAATGTTCAATGTTCAATGATCTTGTGCTTTCCATTTTAACAGAAGGTCATTTTTTAGATATCAGAATCCATGGAATTGAGGGCTGAACATATACTTTAAAGAAATACTAACATCATTCTATTACACATAACCTATTTTCCCCCAAATAAGACCCATCCTGACAATAAGGACTAAAATAAGCCCTACCACAAATTAAGCCCTACTTAAGTGCCTGGGCAGCTGCCCACTCAACCACTCTTTCTGGTTGTTTGTGGTGCCAAAACATAAAGAAAGGGGGGAGGTGCAGCTGCCCCATGCACCCAACACCAGCTTATCTCAGGACCCCCACAACCATGCCATCCATGCCCCAACAACTGCCTCTCGTCTATAGCACTGGTGCATCACTCAGCCTCCTGCTCTGTTGTGGCCACAAGCAAGCAGAAGAAGTGGGCCAGTGGCCACACAAGGTCTTGAAGATGTCAGGGCTTGTGTGGCCTGACTGCAGGGACCCTGAGAGGTAAACTGGGGCAGCTCCATCTCCACCTTAAGGCAAAAGCATTCTCATGCTGCACAGCTTCCTGTCCCAACACCAGCAAACAGAAGTAGGACTTCCATACATGGGAAAAAAATAAGACATCCCCTGAAAATAAACCATAAAGCTATCTGTGGAATAATGCACATCCAATACAATTTTACTTGTTCCTACAAATGAAAATAATGGCCTATTACTTCTCTATTATGGAAAATTGGAAGTACATGAAAGCAAATAAATTTCCTTAAGGTGTCTGAGACAGCCAGTCACTTTAAATAGTTTTCTGGATAATCTGATTCCTTGCATAAATGTTAGTGTCAGAAGGATGTTAGTATTTTAGTATTTAATGATATTATCAGGAAGAAGTGCAGTTACTTTTGATGGTAGAGCATGACAAGACAGAACTTGCTATTCATTAATTCTTTATAATGACAAAGCCTGTAAACAAAAAACTTCATTGTTAAAAAGTGGCATCCTGTAATGCTAGATTAGAAAACTATAAAATATTATTATGACATAGCAGAACATAAGCGATATCAATAGGAGAGGATTATTTAGTTATTTTATACAGCTTCCCATTTCAATGAACATAACTCTGGTTAGCAGAGTTAAAATAATGTCAGAATGGTTAAAGACCTAAAAAGCAAGTTTGTAGGAAAAGAGCATCAATCAAAATACACTATCTCTACTGCGCAGGTACCCAATGGATCACTAAGGCTCCCTAATCTCTGGAAACAATACAATGTCAAGGCATCCTGAAAGATTAAGAGTATTGAGGTTTTTCTCACTTGGCGGTGGGAATCTTGTGTGAGAAATGGATGATGTTCCAGAGGGACAGAGTCACATCAGAAAAGACATATCTGTGTCCTATCAGATGAAACTGATATATGGCCTGCAGGACTTGGTGGGATGGATAGTAGATGTGATCACAAAGAGGCAGGTCTTCAAATAACCAAGGAAAATTGTATAACACAAAGTAAATATCATTCAACATATACAATTGAAAGACATATTTATTTTTCATGCACTTATATTAAATATCCGGAACTTGAGGAATAGTTTTCTGATGATTTCTTTTATATCTTTGTTTCTTAAACAATAAATAAAGGGATTGAGCATGGGGGTAAGAGCTGAATAAAAGAAAGAGAAGCCCTTTTTCATATTTTTGAATTTTCCAGTGGTTGGCAAAATGTAGACAAAAATTAAGGATCCATAGAAAATGGAAACCACTGTGAGATGGGAAGAACAGGTTGAAAAAGCCTTTTGTCTCCCATTCACAGATGGGATCTTCAGAATTGCACTGATGATAAAAGTGTAAGATGTGATAGTTATGAAAAATGTAGGTAAAACTGCTATAGATGATGTTATCAAACAAGTACTTTCAATCACCCAAGTGTCATTGCAGGAAAGTTGTACTAAAGGTGTGAAATCACAAAAAAAATGGTCAATTTCATATTGCTTGCAGAATGTGAGTTGGGCCAACAAGGATGTCAAAATAGTGATAAGAAGAAATGCTGTAAGCCATGACATCAAAACTAAGAAGATACATGTTTTGTCATTCATAAGTGTAACATAATGCAAGGGTCTACATATGGCTAGATAACGATCATATGACATTGCAGCCAAGAGGTAACATTCAGTAACTCCTGGAGTAAAGAAGAATTGCATTTGTAATATGCAGCCCCAAAAAGATATTGTCTTTTTTTCTGTAAGACAGTTAACCATCATTTTGGGTAATATAGCTGAGGTGAAACAGATCTCCAAACAAGATAGATTAGAAAGAAAGAAGTACATTGGAGTGTGGAGGTGGTTCTTTGTAACAACCAACATAATAATGAGAAGATTTCCAGATAAAGTTATAGTATAAATGATTATAAATAACACGAAGAGAAGAACATTCACATTTTCAGCATTCCCAAACCCCAGGAGGATGAATTCTTTGATTCTTGTTGTATTCTGGGGTTCTGAAGGTTTTATAGACTGCATCTATTAGTAAAACATCAAAAGCTGATTATCTTGAAATTTATAGTTTATGTAGCATAGCCATATCTAACAATTAAAAAATAGTATACATGAGTAAAACTATTTTTTGCAAATGAAATCACTTCAATTTAGCTTTGGCAATATCTGCCACCGAGTATAGAAAGGAGAATTTCCATCCTTGATAAGTCACATACACATAAACCCCACTTACATCCTGAATAATTGTCAATTATGAATGCATTAATTTCTTTGAATTCTTCCAGATTTGATTAATGGACTCTACTGTTTATTTTTTTTTTAAAAAAAGTAATGTGTTTTTAGAAAGGGAAAGGAGATGGGTAAAGGTGAAGGGGAATGAGAATTAGAATGGGAAGTGAGAAGATGGAGAAGGAGAGGGAGAGGGGAAAAGGGAAGGAGTAAAACTTGAACCTATTTCTGAATTATGTGTATTTCATTAATATTAATTTCTTTTAAATTGATGTTAAGTTATGTAAAAGTATCCATTTAAAATTAATTCCGTTAATAGAAAATATAAGAAAACATTAATAAGGATATGAAATAAAAGAGGCATGTAAGCAGCTTACCTGTGTTTCAGGTTCTTTAAGCTGAAGACAGTCTTCCTGTTATCTTTGCAGGATGTGATATTGTCATTCAAGTCAGCCTCACCCTTCTGTTCTTTTTCCATTGATTTAAATCAAGTAGAAAACAGTCAGAATGTTCCTGGGAGAAAAGTTTTCTGCCAGAAGATCTTTGCCATAATGAGGACAAACCTTTGAAGGATGAAGAACTTGCATACACAAACACACACATACAAACACACTCACTCACTCTCTCTCTCTCACACACACACACATACACACACAGAGAGAGAGAGAGAGACAGACAGACAAATAGACAGAGAATAATAATATTTTTAAATAATGTTTCTTTCTACTACATGTTTACAATATCTGCATATTACGTGATAATGTTGCTTGTCTAATCAGTTAGGGATTACTTAGAAAAGAGAATGCTACAGAGTATTAACAGTTGAACCTTTTAAAACCATTTTTTTTAAAGTATCTATTACTTTATTTGAATTGTATGGTTAATATTAATCAATTGCTTTTTTTAAAAAAAGAAAATGAAATATAGATGACATTCATCAAAAGGAAATGGTAGGATAAAATGAAAGAGTAGTAGAATTGAATGGTATGGATTTTGATAATGTAGCCAAATTCTTGATCAGGAGATAAAATCCATTGTTATTCCAGCACATCCTTTGGACAGTTCAGTATTTCTTAAAACATTCTATTCCATTATCTAACAACTCATATAATCAGGATTTATTTTCTTAAGGTGCATTTGAAATCAACTTCCTTTGAATTTTAAACCCATTATTCTTGTCTTTTCTTGAACATTTCTACACAATTCTAGTTCTTTTTTTGCAAAGGTTACTTTTCAGATAGTTCATGATCATTTTAAAATATCACAGTTCACCCTTCTATTCAAGGTCTCTTTCTATAATTAAATATCTTTAAAATCTCTGACTCTTAATCCTGCATTTCTCCTTACAGTCCTTTTAAAAAAATATTTATTTACTATAGGTTCAGTATTATCAGTATCCTAAAACATAGCATACAGAGCTACAGACAATAACCTAGGTATGGCTTCATCAATTCCTTCATCGTATCCTTCTCCCCAGATAAATCCTCATCATTTCATAAAGGCCTTAAAACCTGGTCCTGCCAACTGGCTAGGGTTCTCATAGGGCTATATCATCCTGGAAGTGTTTACTGGATTTGAGGATTCCCCATTCCACTCTTTAGTGTACCATCTGCCATCTTACCTATTATTATTTTTGACTCACTGTTTAAATTTTTATAATATTTTAATTAAATTTATAATAGTTTTATCAGAGTTGCAGGAACAAGATGGGTGGGTAAATGGATAAAACCAATCAATCAATCTTGGCAGAAATACCTCAGTTCAACTATCCTACCCAAGATAATTGCAGATTTTTCTAAGTGACAGAAAGTCAATTCCTGTCTGGGGTTGTTTCATGCAATTATTTTGTTTTAGGTTGTCTTCTCAGTGTGGAATATTACCTTCTGTCAGTGATGTCTTATTTTATAGATTTGTTGCCATCTGCAAACCTGTGAAGTTCCCAGAAGATGACCTAATTAATTTACAAACTTCGAGAAAAAGTTCAAAAGAAATCCATTGATTTATTAGGATCAATATTTTGGCATGTTCTCCTGCAGAGCTGAAACTGACTTTCGTTTAATTGCATTTGAACTTTACCCCTGGGTCCCATCCCCTCTGTCTGGGTCATAAATCACATTCACCAACAAGGTTGTAGAAATATGAGATCCGACTTTGGTTGAAGGTATGCATGGAATCCTCCCTCCAATGCCAACCTAATAATAGTCATGGCAACACTTTATAAGTTGACATCTGGCCCCGCTCACTTCCCGAAAGTGATCTGTGTGACACAGGAATAATTTGAGTAAAGGTATATAATTTAGGGATGTGTTCCTCCCCCAGTCTTCCCTGGATTTTCTGCATGGAATTTTGCTATAAGGTGATCAGCCTGGATATTCCTATTTTTTACCCAAGATGCCTGTGTTAAGGGGGTAGCCCTTCCACTTGATTAAGTATTAGAGTTGTCTCCTGTGCCTCCTTGAATCAAGGACTCGTTGAACTTCATAATGGGTTTGGCCCCAATGTCCACAGGCTCTGGGGGCTCCGGGGTAGTGGTCTCAGAGTGGATCTGATCACAAGTTTTAATAGGCTACTATGAAATGCCAGGTGTATCTTCCCCAGCAATCAAGGCAGTTTCAATTGCACTGTAACTGGGTTGATGATCTTTACTATGGAGAATGGTCCCATAAACTTTAGCCCCAGTTTCTTGCAATGCAGTTTTAAACTCAAATATTTTGTGGAGAGGTAAACCTTCTCTCCCACCCAAAATGGCCATTGCAGAGCCCAGTGTTTATCTATCTGTTTCTTATAGGTTTGTGCTGCTTTAGCCAGTGCTTTTTTGACATTCTCCCATGTTGCTTTCAGCATCGATATCCAATCAGTCAATCAATCACTCACTATTTTGAATGGCATGAATCCTGTGCTATTGTATTCAACCTCAGCAAAAGATAAAAGGTCTGCTCAATTGGACTGCTGATAGTTCACATAGCACCTCAGGTACTGCTGTAACAAAGCGTTCAGTCTCTCTGCTGCCCCATTGGTGTTTGGATGAAAAGTTGAACTAAGACCCTGAAATGACCCAATGGATGGCAGGAACTCCCTCCAGGACTTAGCCTGGAGCCCTCTGTCTGAAATAATTCTTCGAAGTACTTCATGCAGTTGGTTGCTTCACAAACAGTTTAGCCAGCTTGTGAGCCGAGGGTAGTCCCCTGCAGGCTATGAAGTATGCCTGTTTGGAGAATAGGTCTATTATAGTCAAAATCAATGTGTTTCCCCCACTTTTCGGCAACTCTACTATAAAGTCCATTGTGATCTCCTCCCACAGCCTCGTTGGCTCTGCTACTGTTTGAAGCAGTATAGGGGGTTTTCCCGGTCATCTTTTAATTGTGGTGCAGATGGTGCAACTTTTCACATAACTATCCACATCTTTCTTTATGCCAGGCCACCAGAATTGCCTCCAGGCTAAGTGTAAAGTCTTTAGGAACCCAAAGTGGCCTGCCGGCTTGGTGTCATGGCTCCTCTGGAAAATTTGGGTGCGTAGGGATTCTGGGATGTAGCATTTCATCCCCTTCCATGCAAGGTCATCTCTTTTGGTCAAGATGTGTTGGTTGTTTTGGAAGCAGGGGTCTCCTAGCAGTACAGTTTTTAGCCTCATGGTTAGGTTGCTTGTGGATTGGTTTTGCAGGTCATGGCATTGCCGCCTGGTGGTCACTTGGGCAGCTGTTTGAATAGGGGGAATGATGGCATGCACTATGTGCTCCCGTTCAATTTCTACTGAGGCATGCGGGAGAGGATCTAAGCTAGAAAGTTCCTCCGCCCTGGAATGTGCTTTAACACAAAACCAAAATGGCCTTGTCTTGGTGATAGTTTCCATGGGGTCCTAAGCGCTTCCAGATTTTTGTGGTCAGTCCAGACTTCGAATGATTTCTGGCCCCCTTCAAACAGGTGTCTCAAGTTTAGCATTGCCCCTCTCACTGCAAAAGCCTCCTTTTCCCACATGGCCCATTGTGTCTGTGAGCTTGTGGGGTGCAGGGTTGTAAGTTGCCTTTCATTTATTAACTGCATGAATACCGCTGGGAACCCCAGATAGTCTAACCCCACTGCAGTCCAAAAAGCATCACTTTGAATTGAAAGCTCCCTAGGGGGCAGTTGAACACTGTTTTCCACTCATCTGCCTCTCTGATACTTACTCAGTAGTATGCTTCTCTGAGATCTAGTTTGGTAAAGACTTTTCCCTTGGCCAGATGAGATAGCATGTCCTTCATGAGGGGGAGAGTGTATAGGTTGTGTATGCACACCACATTTATCCTTCAAAAGTCCACACACAATATCATAGTTCTATCTTTTTTCTCTTTGAAGAGGACTGGTGCTGGAACCCATGGCTTAGCTGGTTCAATGAACCCTCTTGCTAGGTTTTTGTCTATGTATTTGCACATCTCTTGTATTTCCTGGGGCATCATGGCATACAGTTTGGGCTTGGGTAGTTTTGCCCCAGGGATGATTTCAATGGCACAGTCTGTCTCATGGTGAGGAGGCAGAACATCATACTTAGCCCGGCTGAATACTTTGCGAGGTCCAGATATTCCATCTGAATCAATTCAGCCTTTGGGATTTTATCGGATATGTGCCAGTTGTTCTTGTGGGCTCTTTTGGGTTTCTGTGTGGGTGGTGTTTCTGCTAGCTGGTATGGGAGGAGTTGGTGGCCCTGTGATATCCTAAGTCTGCAGGTACCCCCTTTCTACCAGATGGTTGGTCCCCACTTGTCTAGCCAGGAAAGTCCCAGTATGACTGCATCTATCATTTTGGAAGCTATTATGAAT